ACTAGAGGTTTATCACGAGTTTTCTACAGTGCCATTTTTTTTTTTTGATTTCACGAGGTCTTTGGTTTGCTCACATGAAATTGTACTGACGCTAATCTTTCCCTCACAAACTGATCGGTTTTCATTCCCTCCGTCAAAAGCTGCTATTAGATGAGAAATCAGTGCGACACAATCGGACCTTTTTAGGTCCCTACTCTTTCTGCGCAGGTTCTTTTTCAGCTAAGGAGCAAATTACTAACTGGAAATGGGTAAATTTTATCCTGATGCGAAATTCCCTTCTGGATGATAAACGCTGCCCCGCATGCCCTCATTTTCCTCCTCCTCCACTCTTACTCTCTTTCTCTGTCTCTCATCTTTCTCCTATTTTGATCCTGTTTGTTACGCATTTAGATCCAGAAAATTGTGTAGAAAAATGGCAATTTCATATTACTTCTACATTTTTAACCATGGGGGAACAGCATACTTCCGTAGCCTTTGAATTTCTGCACTAACCTCCTTTGATATTTGCACCGCCAAGATTCCAGAGTTTTGCCGTACCGTCTTCACTAGCAGTGACGAGCACCGGCTCGACTGGATGAAATTGCATTGCACGGATGCTATCGAAATGTGAACGAAGCGTGAACTTCAGATTCCATCGGACGTTCGAAGTATCCTCATCAGGCTGAATGTAATTTCACAACCACAGTAAAAAAAAAAGAAAAAATCAAATCCAATAATATCAAACGCAATCGCGAGAAAGTATTGTTAGGTTCTTGAATCATTTAACCGAGAGTGACCACGAAAGTATTCATTTTTTCCTCGCTAAATTCCAATCCTTACACAACATTTTTCTATGATCTTATTACAAAAGCATTCCATAAAGGCTGGATAAGGCCGATTTTGGGAAATGAAGGATAACCCAATTCGCAGTCTGAAACTAATCGTCACAATATATATACCAAATGTAACCAAGAAATCCTCTTTGTTAAGCACTCCAAGCTGGGAGTACTCCCATGCAAGCCCTAACTGCATTGCGGGCACACCTGTGCAAATTCAAGCGTCACAACTAGTGATCCTGTGCAACTACAGAGCCAG